GGATGAACTCAGGAGCACTCCACCACTGAGCCACATCCCCAACCCTATTTTGTATTTTATTTAGAGACAGGGTCTCACTGAGTTGCTTGGTGCCTTAATTTTGGTGAGACTGGCTTTGAACTCATGATCCTCCTGACAAGGCTATCTTTGAACTTGCAATCCTCCTGCCTCAGCCTCCCAAGTTGCTGAGATTACAGGTGTGGGCCACTGGGCCTGGCTTATAGTTCTTTCTGTCCTTTCATGTCCCAGTGTCTTGAAACTATTGACTATATACAATGTTTAATCCCCTGCCAGCCACAGTTCAACTTCTGTTCCTACCTTACCACCAACTCTCTCCCCTTAATTAGGCAAAGATGCACCCTGACCGTCAGCGGTTTGTGTTTCCATCCTTGTCTTCTCTAATCTCTGAGCCACTGCACATCCACCACGCACCTTGATGTCACTGCACTGCTTCCTGCCCTCCCTACTCATGTCTTATTGCAGCCATAGAAGACAAATCAGGCAGAGCTATCAGAGTGTCTCCACAGAGGTGTGATTTACCCATAAAGATGTTAAACTACCTTGACTTAACATGTAAAAAGTTAAAGAAGAGTGTTGTTTTTTTTTTTTTTAAACATGACTTTTGACCAGTTTTGTGGTGGTGAAATCAATTCAGTGAATTGCAAATATTACTTCTGTTATGCTCACTAGAATTGAATAGGCAAAGGGCATCCATGTAGGAAAGCTTAGTGTTTTGTACCCATATGTGTTTATGTGTGTTCATTGGGTCATGAGGGCAAATGTATTTCTTATAAAAGATGTGGTCAGAGAAGTGGAAAGTGGATTTGGGTTTTCATGTCGTCAACTTCTTTATTCTAAAGAATGGAATCTAAATTTTAATTTTAAAAAGTTCAATGGGCCTTTTGATTATGAAGAGATAAAGAATAGTCTTTACCCTAAAACAAGAATTCTGCTGTCGTTCCTTAAGCTACTGGTGAAAAGTCAGGTCACTTTGAAAAGTATTATTTTGCCTCAACAAAAATGACAAAAGTCTTTATGATCTGGTCTCTGCTGACCTCTCCAGCCTCATTTCCCCTCTTCCTACTTTGCAGTATGCACATGGCCACGCTGAGATTCCTTTGTCTCCTCTAATCATGAGGTTCTCTTTGGGCTCTAGCATCTTGAACATGATGGCCTGTTACCTTCCTCCCCTACCCAAAGATTCATTTGGCTCACTCCAGCCAAACTCCTTCTTATTGCAATTGAGTCATGGCTCTTTCTAGAAAACCTCCCTGGACTCCCAGCCTAGTTGTTATTGGAATCCTAAAGATGGGTTCCTGAGTAATTTATAAATCAGACTACACAGTGTTTCTCACCTTTTAATTATGGCATCATAGCCCTCTGAGTATTTTTATATTTTTTCACCTAATTTCCCCTTCATCTCCCCACTGAAAAATTAATACCACAGATATGCGATATGTCAGTGTAGTACCATGACCCCTTTGAGGACAAACCATTATACTGCATCTAAGTTTATGTATTTTGTTCCATAAGAACCAGTTCTTGCCCCTTCAGGGCAATATCACTTCCACTGAACATGCAGGGAGTAGAATAAGAGAAAACTCCACTTGCACACTCGAGAGGCTAAGAAAAACAATAGCTGCCATTCCTCCCTGTTGCGTCAAACACTGTAGAGGTTCAGGGAGATAAGGATGACAGTATTGATTTAGGCTGTCATTGATCTACCCAAGGGCAGTTACTGGTGGAGCTGAAGTTAAATTGCAGTGGCTTGGAGATAATTAGCTACAGTGAGTGAGACACAAGGACTAGGAGGTTTTGTGTGGCTTTATAAAAAGATGGGAGATACCTGACTTTAGCCATGGGTAGTGAAGAACTGGGGAACATCAAGAAAGGGAATAACTGGTTGAGCAAAAGCCCAGAGGGAAGGAAGGGACTCCTGAGTGGAGGTAAAAGTAGAAGGGGAAGGTTCTCACTGGTGTGCATAGAAGGCTTCAAGCAAAGCCACCTACGTGGGAAAGTGACACCAGGACACAAGAGAAACCCTGACGAGAAAAAGGAGTTTGGAATCTCTACTTCAGAGAAAGAGGAGAAGCTAGCCAAAGTACCAGAGGATGGCCAAGAAACATCAGGGGTCAGCTAAATAGAAATAACCAAAAAGTTGTAGCAGTTCGATCTTTTGTCTTTCAACAAATATCTTGCATGCCTACCATTTTCCAGAAGCTCTTCGGTGCTGAGAATATCGCCATGAATCATACAGTTTCTGACCTCAAACTCCAGTTGTGTTTCCCAACTGGACTATAAATCCATAAATAAGATAATTTCAGATGCTAACAAATGGCAAAGATTGCACTGTATGTTCCAAAAGATTCATTACTCGCATAATTATATTCATTATTGTCTCTATAGTTTGATGTTCTTAAAAATCTTTCTGGCTGGAGGGAGACTAGCCAATTCTTAGAGATAGCAAAGGGCGTGACAAGGAGCCTGCCTTTGATAGATGAAGTACCCAATTCAGAGCCAGACCTCCTCTTTCTGGCCCATGCACCCCAGGAGGCAATATTCCTTTTCTTCGGTCATCCCAGGCCAGGTACTTGGGCTACAGGTGACCACACCTGTAGCATAGAGCCTGATGGAATCATTCAAATTAGCCAAGCCTACAATGCATCCCCTGACTTACCTCTCCCTCAAAAACCCTAACAAAGCCTCTGGCCCAAACCTTGCCCTTGCTTCTGACTCCAGCCTTCTGACTGCCCTGAGGTTTCCTTGTGCCCTGTGTGGTCTGCCTCCTGTCTCTAGGACCTGGGCATATAGTACACTTCATTGTCCTGGCCTTCTTCCATCTCCTCTTGTGGCTACCCCTCATCAAAGCATCTAATCAAAGAACTCATAACAAGAAGCTGGGGATTCTAATGTCTCCTTCAAGGGTACACAGCCCCAGTGACCTAACTTCCTCTAACTACATTCCACCCCTTAAATATTCCACCACCTTGCAATAGCGGCACCAGCTGGAGACCAAGACTTTTAGAGGACATTTAAGATCTAAACAATAACACATTTTTTAAGGGAGAATTATATATACAATGTTGTATTCTCTTAGATTAAACCAGTAGGCCAATGATGTCATTTGTTCCATTATTGGTAATACTCAGTTTGATCATTTGTTAAGTTGGTGTCTGCCTGACTTACCCTTTTCAAAAGAGTCCTTTTCTTTTTATATTTCATAAGTGACCTGTGATGTGATACTTTGAGACTATTCTCCCAATGATTTTGGCAGCCATTGATGATTCTTGCCCTAATCAAATATTACTGTAGTGGTTTCAAAATTAAACTATTTCATCTGGTTGACCAAACAAAACAACAACAACAAACAGAACAAAGATAAAGTGGGGGACTATGACAGGGTGACAGGAGGACTTCCATTGGAAATACTCTGCTGCAGAGGTTACACTTGATCTGCTGCCTGAATGATAAGCAAGAAGCAACCTTGAGACAATCTGAAAGTGGAGTGGTCATAGCAAAGGGACTTGCAAAGAGCCCGAGGAAGTGACAAGGGTATTTATGGGAGAGAAAGTTGGCAAGTGAGGCTGAAGGGTGAGGTAGGGGAGGAGGTCAGCAGGGACCAGATAGCAGGGGCCAGAGAATTCTTGAAGGCCATGGAAAGACTTTGGAAAGATTTTTTTTTTTGAGCTTTAAAGCAAGATGACCTTCTTGGAGGCTCTAGAACACATGGAGGATTACTAGGAGGGCACAAGAAGGGGACTGTAGACTCTCAGAGAGATTCTATTTATATAAGCAAACACAGATCCCCTCAACCCTGTACTGGGGATTGAACCCAGGGGTGTTCTACCATTCAGCTACATTCAGCCCTTTTATTTTTATTTTGAGATAAGTTCCCACTGTTTGATGAGGGCCTCCCCAAATTGCTGAGGCCGACTTTGAATTTGGGAGCCTCCTGCCTCAGTTTTGGATTATAGTTGTGCACCATGGCAAATTTTGACTTTTAAAACAAGTACAAATAATAGCACATTATATGCTGCTCTGGACTTTTCTTTTTTGCTTAACTTGGAAATCCTTCTACAGCAGTGGATTAAGGGCTGTCTCCTTTTATGTTAAGAAAAGTTAACATAAAGAGTGTTCAGAAATTATATGTAATTTATTTTGGCCACTTAGTTATAACAGAGCAGCAACTAGATTGATCCTTAGTTTTCTGGACTTTAATATAAAAAAGTTCAAATCTATGACACTTTTTTTCTCCCTTTTGGCTTTATACTCATCACTGATTTCCCATTCTATGCCCCTCTGCCCCTTCTTAAATTTAACACTTACAAAGCTTAGTCAACTGATCTCATTTTTGGTGAATCAAATGTTTAAAAAAAAAAAAACCCAGATGATATGGCACACAGATGTCCCTTAAACACAAAAGAGTAAATGATGAAAGAAATTATGTGTAGTACTGAGGACTGAGAGTTTGAATACTTGAGGTGTGTGTGTGTGTGTGTGTGTGTGTGTGTGTGTGTGTGAATTTCTCCTTAATCATAGCTGCAGCCTTCTCTCCCCAGCTCTGGATTGGGTGGCTAGGGAGATGCAGTATTAGCTCATTTGATAAGATGACTGCTCATCTCTGGACTGTTCTAAGAAACCCTATCCCCTTCAATCACTGAAGTCCCCAAGGAGAAAGCACTCACCCAGATCTTTTTCAAATGCCCCTTTGGAGTCCCACTTTCTCTTAAAGTAAGCAAGGCAGACACATTTGCCAAGGATAACTGAAACTGTAAGAGCAGCCCTTGACTGGGCAGCTTGTGCAGGCTGCTGTGTGGCTAAATGCAACTCGGAAACATGCCCTATAAATAGCCCTTCATTGTCAGCGTGTGTGAAAAGACAAGAGTGAGTGTGCGTGGTCTGATTCAGGCCTAATGAAGTGGTTTCCCTCTGGGCAGAGCTATAAACCCAGTAGCTGCTCTGTCTGGGAATCTAGTCAGAAGGCAACTGCAAGCGTTCACCACTCTCTGAAGGGAAGCTCTTCCATGCTGGCTTTGCCTCCACTATGGCAAAAATCATTTTGAGGCACCTCATAGAAACTCCAGTGCGTTACCAGGAGGAGTTTGAAGCTCGGGGTTTGGAAGACTGCAGACTGGATCATGCTCTATATGCACTGCCTGGGCCAACCATCGTTGACCTGAGAAAAGTCAGAGCTGTGCCGCAATCTCTTCCAGTGGACTCAGCAACCACAGAGACGCCACCCCAAGAAGGCAAATCCCGCTTTCAAATTCTGCTGGACGTGGTCCAGTTCCTCCCCGAAGATATCATCATTCAGACCTTCGAGGGCTGGCTGCTGATTAAAGCTCAACATGGAACCAGAATGGATGAGCATGGTTTCATCTCACGAAGCTTCACCCGACAGTACAAACTGCCAGATGGCGTTGAAACCAAAGATTTGTCTGCCATCCTCTGTCATGATGGAATTCTGGTGGTGGAAGTAAAGGATCCGCTTGAGACTAAGTGAAACCTTATCGGTTCCTGTTCCTAGGATATGAGGAAGATGTTCTATGGTTGGTACCATGGGAATTTTTGTGCTACCCACGTTTGAAACAATTTGCTATGACTTTTATGAAGATTAAAAATGTATACATAGTTTCTGGTATGTTGAAGATGTTTTTATTATTCTTATGCAGAAAGAGAAATTGTTAAATATGTTTGTGCAATTCAAACTGATACTATTCTTACAAGGAAAACATTGAACCTTTAGGAGACTGTACTTTGATACTAGAGAGGTCTCAGGATTGTTTCTTAATGACTCCAACAATGCTAGACAGGCTATGTTTTTATAATTCATGGCAAAAGAGTGTTCTCACTTAAGGAATCCTTTTCCATTTTGTGAAAATTTTTATACTGCTAAAAAGAGTTGTGATTCCCTTCACTTGATAAGCTTTTCTTTTCAGTGAATTTTAATTAAAGTGGAGTTTTATAAATATGGAGTGTGAAAGTTAAAATACAGCACTTGGAAATTGAGTGTGAAATTTATTTATGATTCATGATAGTTGTTACTGCCTTAAATATCAGTTGGAAAATCCAAATAAAAGTATTATTCTTAAAAATTTTCAGATATCTTATTTTTAAAAGTTCGAATATGTACCTTATTCATTTTTTTTCTAAGCCAAATTGGATCCTATCTGGAGTTTTATTTTTTGAGTCGTGTATGGATACCTATAAAATACTAATAAGATAGATATTAACACATATTGTATTCTTATTAACTTTAGGCAAATATGTTCAGCTACTGAATTCAATATATTTTAAATCTTGCTATTAAGAATCAACTTAAAATTTTAGATTGTAGAAGACAGCACAGTGTAATGCATCTGTTATCTCTGTCTAATCCTTAGCTTTAAATAGCCTGGCAACTAGTGGAAGCCAGGACACCTGACCTTGCACCAAGCCTCTGAGTTTACACAGTGCCTCTGTTGATTGGTGCTTATGTTCTCCCTAACTGCTGCTTTGGCTCAAGGCTGAGACCTTGGTAGAGAGTAAGAATTTGCATTAGGAATATTGGCTTCAGCAGCTGGCCTGTGACATTCCAAAGATTTGCTATCTCATTCTGTACATACTGAATATGTCTTCAGAGGAAGTAGCTGCTTTTCTTTTATTGGCACTGAATGTGAGCTGACAGTGAGCCTGAGGCTGGTGCTAAGAATAGAAGAGGAACGCAGGGTGTGGATGACACCAGGGTCAGTGCAGATGGCAGACAGTGCGGCTGTGCTTGTTCTCCCACATTGCTTCCTTTGTAGTTCAGGTTGAACGGGAAAGACACGAAGCAAAAGAAAAATGAACCAAAAGTAATGAAACAAAAATCTAAGAGGGATGTTTGTTGACTGTTCAATTAAATTGAAAGGGGTTTGAAGTGATAGGTTTATAGGAGCCTAATGCTATACACGGAGGTTTGTGCATCCAACTCTAGGATAAGAAATTTTGTTTAGACAAAGTGAATGGCACAGATTAGCTTTGCCACATAAGAAAGTAAACAGCAATCAACAGGACTCCAGACCTACCAATTAGGACAGGGATACCATGTGTCCCATATGAAATTATTACTATCTGGCATCAGAATAGTGTGACACAAACTAGTGCTTTTAGAAACAAACAACAGAAATATTCTTTCATTTTGTCTTGATCTTCCCCTGGATAAGATCCAATTTCTGGGGAATTTCAGGGAGTGAAATTCTTACCATGAGGAGAAATCAATAGGATATATTTCCTTTAAAAAATAAAATAAACACATCTCCAATTAGTATTTCCTTTTTCTAAGACAAATTTTAAAGGCACACAGAGCCATTTTTATTTATAAAATGTATCAAATATTATAGAAAATAAAAACCACTTATTCTTCTATGACCATGAGATAGCTATTTAAACTATCTAGTTCACCGTTCCTTAATCCTTTTTTTGCAAAATTGGTATTTACATGAAGTCTAATGTCCTGATTGTACTGATTATTGTCTGTTTCTCTCCCTACTCCCACCAACCCAAACCCAATCTCTGTCCCCTTCCCAGCCTCACTCCCAGCCCAACCAGACTGACACCAAGGGGCCTCATAATTGAAGTTTGTGACTTGTTTTAGCCATTGAGAGGCACTGACTGGAGATGAGATTGGAGGGAGACTCGTGGGCAGGATAGGGGCATTTCTTCCTCTATTCTCAACCTGCTGCAGACTGGGGTTCTGGCAGGGCTTTGTCCTTCCACAAACCGACTGCCCCAGGGCTCCAGTTCTTACTGGGCCCCAGCATTGATGGAACACTCTTTCTTTCTTTCAGTGGGAGGGGTGGCTTTCTGCTTTATTGTCACTGGTGCTGCACCATCTCTGTTGATTCCCCTTGCTCTGTCCATTCCCCCTTCATTGAAGTCCCTCCATGAATGGAATTTTGTTTCCTGCCAGAACCCTGATTGCTTGACATCTTAAGTGATTAAAAAGAAGAAGAAGAAGAAGAAGGAGAAGAAGAAGAAAAAGAAGAAGGAGAAGAAGAAAAAAATTAAAAACTAATGCATCACTTTTTAATTTTTTTAACTACCAAACACTGATTTGTAATGCTATTCACTATTCCAACATGGATAAACGGTATTATCATTTAACCATTCTTTATCACTCTTGGTCCCAACCAGGAAACGGCGCTCTCAAATGGAAAGAACTCAACAGGGTTCATTTATAAAGAGACTAATTACAAAGGCATGAGCAGAGCATAGAAGAGTTGCAAAGCTAAGGGTGGCAGTGTGCAGTTGTGTCCCCTAGGGATCAGAGGAGGAAGGAGTCCTTAGAAATCAAGACCAGCTATGACTTTCATTTGAGGGATACAACTAGCCAAAGGTGACCTTTCCTGGGGAGGGAGTCAAGAAAATAAACACTTTCTCCCTCCAGCCTCCTACTAGGGCCCCCCCATTGGCTGAGCCTAATTGGTGGCCAGAGGGCGAAGAGCCTGGTTGATACAGTTCAGCAGCCTTCCAGGGCAGAGGGAAAGTGGAGGGTGACTCTGGGACCAGGGGGTAGGGGAAAATATCCAGCACCCCAATAAAACCAATCCTGTTGTCCTAGTTCGGCCTTAGAAATCTTTTCTCCAAAGGAGACCTGAGACAGGATTGGAAGGCTGACATTTTACCTGGGAAGTGCAAGCCCAGGTGTGGAAATAGGGGAAATAAGGCAAGAAAAGTAAGAGAAGCCCAAAAAGCTAAATGAGTTTTGGCAAGGCTAGTGATTGACTCGGCACATGGAACTGCTCCAGGTGACTTCACTTCAGGCTGAAAAATCTTGGAGCAATCCACAGGGGAATTAAGAAGAGGGAATTTGTTCACCTGGTTCCCTACTGTATCCCATTTCCCATTAGTAAAGGTTTGGCTCACAGGGACTAGATGCTCCTGTGCTTCTGTGGTTTCCATCCAACCCCTCTGCAGCTGCTCAGGAAACCAGAGCCTCCCCTGTGACATTTCATCCAGGCCGAGAACAGAAGGATGACTCAGCATGGCCAGACTCTGGGTGGGGAGCGCAGGTGTAGGGCTCAGACTTGGAGTCCTGCCAAGCCAGGAAGCTTGGCAAAGGTGGCAGCAGCATGTTCTGGGAAGCAGGTGAAACCTTAGGTGGCAGGTGAGAAGGTAGGCAGGGTTTGTATCCAAGACAACCTCACATGCAGAACTGCAGGAAGGTGATACTAGGTCAATAAGGCAGTCTAGTGGCAGCTGTTGCTGCTATACCCTCTGGTGCCTTCAAATTTGATGGTCCCCGATATCACCTTATATTTTGATCTAATTTTTAATCAACTTAGGTGCAAAGACAGTCTTAAACTTCTCCAGGATTTTTCATTTCCTGTAAATTATAGACCAAAGTCTGTTTGTGTGTGTGTCTCTATGTGTCTGCCCCTTGTTCTGGAAATACAAAAGTCAATGAAAAAATTTGAAGAGTTTGGTTCTCATTGGCCTCCCTTAGTCCAGACTGTACTGAGGTCTTGAACTTGTCCTTAACCTATTTCTCACCTGCTTGCCCTTTCAGGTAGGCCTAGCCCTGCGAATCTTGTACGGAAAACAAAGAAAACAAGAACCCTTCCAGCTAGCTCTCCTCATCCTCCTCTCTGCCTTCACAGCGGTGGGTCACACAGAACAAAGCATGGCTAAAGTGCTTATTTTTACATAAAACAATTCCTGAAAGATGTCCATCTAGTCAAAAGTCACTATTAGGCATCAGTGACTACTGCATTTGGCAATTAAGTGCATTTAACAGGCACATGGCTACTTCTTAAAGAGTTGCCTTGGAGGTTTTTTCTGACTGGGTTTCCACTCTTTGCCTGTTTTATATAATTATGTCTGGACTATGTCTGTGTCACTGGGAAGACAGTACAGTGCATTAAAAAGCTGAGCAACTTCAATTGGAGTTCCCCAGATACCACTTGAAATGAATCATTGCTTTAACTAACCCTATTCAATTTCATACTAAACATAGAACTGACTGCTTCACAATAGGATACTGCTCAGCAAATAGTTACAAAATAACGTCTTGGCTTGATCCTTTGGGGAAGGCATGAGACTCTGACTATAAAGCAGGAAAATAGCCAAGATCAGGGCCTTAAACAATACTTTTTTCCTTAACTGATTCTCCTGAGCTTTTGGTGCAAGCATAGTCCCTTGTCCTTGAAATGGATTACTTACATGCATGGTTGTCACTGCTTACAATGCTCAGTGATGAGGAAGGGGAGTTGGCAGCATCATCTGTTGTAATGGATCATGTATGGTCACTCTGTGAAGCAAGTAGTCATCTTGAACAAGTAGCCCCCCACCAAAAAAAAAAAACAGAATTGGTGAATCAGGTTTTGTGTTTGTTCCTGATAATGTGATTATCTGAAAATTGCTGTTAATAGTTTTTAGCATATCAAAAACTCATCTAAAAAAAAAAGCATACAACCTCAGGTTAGAGAAATCCCATTTTTCCTTAAGCTTGGCAAGAATCTGCTCTTCACTAATGATCATTGTTCTCTTTAGAGACTATCAAATAGTTGGAAAGTAGAATTAAAATATGGGTTTGGTGTACAATTTAAAGTTCGTATATTACATTTTGAAA